ATCAAAATAACGCCAGTCATCCACCACAAACTCAAAAAGCAACACATGCTGGGAGCCAGTGGGGAAAACCCTCTATTTTGCTGGTGGGGATGTAAACTGGTGGGCCCGCTGTGGCACTCAGTACGGCGACGCCTCGAAGAGCTAACACTGGAAATTCTATTTGCGCTAGCTACGCTTCTCCTAGGCATCTTCCCCTGAAGGGTTAAAAGACACTGCAGGGGGACGTGCATATCCTTGTCTATAGCAGCACAACTCACAACAGCTAAGCCACGGCATCAGCCTGTACGTCCATTAACAGGAATGGAAGAAGAAAACGTGGTATTTACACACAATGGAGTCGTACTCAGCCATAAAAAAGGATGAAGCTGAATCATTTCAAGGAAAATGGATTGTGACAATATAAATGATTTCTCTAATATGAGAGCCCCCAAATATCAGTAACGTAAAGAGTTAGAGAAATTCTAGGAAACAGGGAGACGGACTCTAGATGGGAAGGGAAGCTGGTGAAGGAGGGAAAGGGGTTAAAAATGGCCACAATGCCATCCGTGTATACACCAGCTCCCCAAGATGCCCGTAATTACTATATATCACAATATACCAATACATTTTCTTTTTTTTTTGAAGAACCAGGGATTGAACTCAGGACCCTGCACTTGCCAGGCAAGCCCGTATTCTACTGAGCCATCTCCCCGGCCCCACCATTACATTTTTTTAAAAGAGTGACTCACCAGGGCCGGTGAGATAGCTCAGAAGACTAAGCACCTCAGCCAAGTGCAGGGACTGGGGTTCGATTCCCAGCACCACACGCCACAGTGACCCCACCCTGGGGAACGCTGAGCCAGCCACCAAGACTGGACAAGGGGGTGCACACCTGTAATCCCAGAGCCAGGGAGGCTGAAAAGAGGAGGACCACTGGGAGTTTGAGCTGCATACTGAGACCCTATATCAAATACACACACACACACACACACACACACACACACACACACACGTGAGTCACCACAGCGGTTGGTGACTTCTAAAAGATGAAGAGATACCACCACCTCAGCCACAGCCCGCAGAGTAAATTCCTGAGCATCGCTGCTCTTGCCCGAGGTGGCTGTGTGACCTGCAGCA